GCTGCTATACGCGCCGGTCGTCCAGGCACAGCAGGCGTGGCACTTTCTCGACACCAGAGGGGGTGGTCCCTGAGCGCGGCCGCTATGCAGGACGGTCGTCCAGGCACAGCAGGCGTGGCACTTTCTCGACACCAGAGGGGGGCGCAGGAGGTGGTCCCAGAGATTTTCCATCGAAGGGCGCGAGACCAGAGAGCTGCCATCGCAGGAAAGGGGGCAGGAGCCGGGGCAGCAGCAGGAGTCCCTTCTTCCTTCCCTCCCTCCCCTCCTTCCCTTCCCTATGGGCCCTCCCAGGAGCAGTATAGAAGAAAATGGAGAAGAATAATAGAGGAGAAGAAATGGTGGCGGAAGGCAGGGCGAGAAAGGTCGTTGTCGTCGGTCCGCAGGAGCTCTGGCCGGTCCTCCCGGCCCCCGCTCCCGCCCCCTGCCGCGCCCGCCCCATCCGGGGCCCGAGGGAGCACTGCGCCGCCGGAGGTCTGACCATGTCTGGCGGCGACGACGACGACGACGACGGCGACGCACTTCGAGGTTCGAGGAGGTTTTTCCCTTCTTTCGGCGTCTGGAGGCACGCTCAAAGCCCCGGGGCCGTCTTGAATCACTGCCGTGCCATGCCTTTCGTCGGCGCCGCGCCGCGCCGTGCCGTGCGCGGCCGTGCAGGAGTTGCGAGGAGGAGGAGTTGAGAGGAGTGCGGAGGAGTTGTGAGGAGGAGGATTTGAGAGGAGTGCGGAGGTGTTCAGAGGAGCGCGGAGGAGTTGAGAGGAGTGCGGAGGAGCGCAGAAGGGGGAGTACAGAAGGATATGAGAGGATGAGTTGAGAGGAGTGCGGAGGAGTTGAGGGAAGTGCGGAGGAATTGAGAGGGGTGCGGAGGAGTTGACCGGATGGGGTGGGACGAGGAGGAGGAGGACGAGGAGGAGGAGGAGGACGACGACAACGACCACGAGTGCGGCGACGAATGCAACGAGCACTGCCAACACAACGAGTACGACGACGTCGAGTGCGACGACGACGAGTGCGACGACGAGTGCGACGAGCACGACGACGAATGCGAAGACGAGTACGACGGCGAGGTACGACGACGAGTACGATGACGAGTGAGACGATAGAGCGGCAACGAGCACGACGACGAGTACGACGAGTACGACAACGAGTACGACAAGTACGACGACGATTCGCGACGAGGCTTTAGAACGCAGGATTGCGCAAAGATGATAATGACAAGCGAACGCATAAGATTAAACATCAGTATGTGGGGTTCCTCGGTAGCGTAATTCCCTGCCGCGCCGCGCCCGCGTCTCCCCCGCGCCCGCCTCCCTCCCCTCCTCCTCCTCCTCCTCCTCCTCCTCCTCCTCCTCCTCCTCCTCCTCAGCACAGCGCAGCACAGCACGGCATACCGCAGCACAGCATAGGACAGCGCAGCACAGCTCAGCAGAGCACAGCACAACGCGTCTCGGCGACACGCGTCTACATACAGCCGCACGCATGCACGCACTCGCACGCACAAGACGACACCAGTCCTGGCATAGCAGGCGTGGCACTTTCTCGACACCATAGGGGGTGCGCAGGGGGTGGTCTCTCGCTGCCCCAGGTCCTATAAGTCCCCAGTCGTCCTGACTATAGCAGGCGTGGCCCCGTCGTCCTGGCATCCAGCAGGCGTGGCACTTCTCGACAACATAGGGGGCGTGCGCAGTGGGTATTGCGCTTGCGGCCTATACGCCGCCGGTCGTCCAGGCATAGCAGGGCCGTGGCAGTTTCTCGACCCATTAGGGGGTGCGAAGGGGTGGTCTCTCGATGCGGTCTCTATACGCCCAGGTGCGTCCAGGCATAGCAGGCGTGGCACTTTCTCGAACACCATAATGGGTGTGCAGGGGGGTTGGTCTCTCGCTGCGGTCTATATACGAGCCGGTCGTCCAGGAATATTGCAGCGCTGGCACTTTCTCGACACCATAAGGTTGCGCAGGGGATGGGTATTTCGCTTGCGTCCTCTCTACAAATACCCTATGCGCGCCACGGTCGTCCAGGCATAGCAGGCGGCACTTTCTCGACCCATAGGGGGGAGCAGGACGGTGGTCCTCTCGCTGCGGTCTCATACGCGCCGGGCGTCGAGGCAAGCAGGGGTTGTATTGGCATGGGACCATTAGGGGGTGCGCAGGGGTTGGTCCCTGCGCGCGGCCGCTATCCGAGCCGGTCGTCCAGGGCATAGTAGGCGTGGCACTTTCTCGATTCCATAGGGGGGTGCGCAGGGGGTGGTCTCTCGCTGCGGTCTCTATACGCGCCGGTCGTCCTGGCATAGCAGGCGTGGCACTTTCTCGACACCATAGGGGGTGCGCAGGGGGTGGTCTCTCGCGCGGCCGCTATTCGCGGTCGTCCAGGGCATAGCAGGCGTGGCACTTTCTCGACACCATAGGGGGTGCGCAGGGGGTGGTCTCTCGCTGCGGTCTCTATACGCGCCGGTCGTCCAGGCATAGCAGGCGTGGCATTTCTCGACACCATAGGGGGTGCGCAGGGGGGGCTCTCGTGCGGTCTCTATACGCGCCGGTCGTCCAGGCATAGCAGGCGTGGCACTCGACACCATAGGGTGCGCAGGGGGTGGTCTCTCGCGGTCCCTATACGCGCCGGTCGTCCAGGCATAGCAGGCGTGGCACTTTCTCGACACCATAGGGGGTGCGCAGGGGGTGGTCTCTCGCTGCGGTCTCTATACGCGCCGGTCGTCCAGGCATAGCAGGCGTGGCACTTTCTCGACACCATAGGGGGTGCGCAGGGGGTGGTCCCTGAGCGCGGCTGCTATACGCGCCGGCCGTCCAGGCATAGCAGGCGCGGCACTTTCTCGACACCAGAGGGGTTGCGCAGGGGGTGGTCCCCGAGCGCGGTTGCTATACGCGCCAGTCGTCCAGGCATAGCAGGCATGGCACTTTCTCGACACCAGAGGGGGTGCGCAGGGGGTGGTCCCTGAGCGCGCGGCTGCTACACGCGCCGGTCGTCCAGGCATAGCAGGCGTGGCACTTTCTCGACACCATAGGGGGTGCGCAGGGGGTGGTCCCTGAGCGCGGCCGCTATGCACGACGGTCGTCCAGGCACAGCAGGCGTGGCACTTTCTCGACACCAGAGGGGGGCGCAGGAGGTGGTCCCTGAGCTCGGCCGCTATGCGCGACGGTCGTCCAGGCACAGCAGGCGTGGCACTTTCTCGACACCAGAGGGGGGCGCAGGGGGTGGCCCCTGTCGCCCAGAGATTTTCCATCGAAGGGCGCGAGACCAGAGAGCTGCCATCGCAGGAAAGGGGGCAGGAGCCGGGGCAGCAGCAGGAGCCCCTCCCTCCTTCCCTCCCTCCCCTCCTTCCCTTCCCTATGGGCCCTCCCAGGAGCAGTATAGAAGAAAATGAAGAAGAAGAACAGAGGAGAAAAAATGGTGGCGGAAGGCAGGGCGAGAAAGGTCGTTGTCGTCGGTCCGCAGGAGCTCTGGCCGGCCCTCCCGGCCCCCGCTCCCGCCCCCTGCCGCGCCCGCCCCATCCGGGGCCCGAGGGGGCACTGCGCCGCCGGAGGTCTGACCATGTCTGCCGGCGACGACGACGACGACGGCGACGCACTTCGAGGTTCGAGGTGGTTTTTCGCTTCTTTCGGTGTCTGGAGGCACGCTCAACGCCCCGGGGCCGTCGGGAATCACTGCCGTGCCATGCCTTTCGTCGGCGCCGCGCCGTGCCGCGCCGTGCGCTTCCGCGCGGGAGTTGCGAGGGGGAGGAGTTGAGAGGAGTGCGGAGGAGTTGTGAGGAGGAGGATTTGAGAGGAGTGCGGAGGTGTTCAGAGGAGCGCGGGGGAGTTGAGAGGAGTGCGGAGGAGTGCAGAAGGAGGAGTACAGAAGGATATGAGAGGATGAGTTGAGAGGAATGCGGAGGAGTTGAGGGAAGTGCGGAGGAATTGAGAGGAGCGCGGAGGAGTTGACAGGATGGGGTGGGGCGAGGAGGAGGAGGGCGAGGGGGAGGAGGAGGAGGGCGACGACGACGACCACGAGTGCGGCGACGAATACAACGAGCACTACCAACACAACGAGTACGACGACGTCGATTGCGACGACGACGAGTGCGACGACGAGTGCGACGAGCACGACGACGAATGCGAAGACGAGTACGACGGCGAGGTACGACGACGAGTACGATGACGAGTAAGACGATAGAGCGGCAACGAGCACGACGACGAGTACGACGAGTACGACAACGAGTACGACAAGTACGACGACGATTCGCGACGAGGGTTTAGAACGCAGGATTGCGCATATATGATAATGACAAGCAAACGCATAAGATTAAACATCAGTATGTGGGGTTCCTCGGTAGCGTAATTTGTTCGAAGGTTCGCGGGGGGTGTTTGGGAGTTTTTTTTTTTGGGGGGGGGGGAAGGGGTTTAGAAGGTGTTTGGCATGTTGAAGGTTTGCGGGGGGGGGGGGGGGGGGGGGGGGGGGGTAGAAGGTTTTTTGGCATGTTGTCGAACGGTTCTTGGAATCTATTAAGCGGTTGTGCTGCGTGCTGCATGGTTTTTGGAAGGTTTTCGAGCGTTTCTGTTTGGGCTGTTGCTTGGGAGGTTTATACATATATATATATATAAAACTATCATAATAATATATTCATACGACCTTCCTAAAACCTCCCTCGGGACAGTTCCGGGGTTTCTGGGACCTTCCGAATTATTAATACGTATAAAAATACGTCCTAAAGCCTTCGTCAGGAAGGTTGTAGGATTCCTGGTACCTTCAAAAAAAACGTCCTAACACCTTCCTCAGGAATATTTGTGGAAGGTTTTTGTTTTGGTAACCCCTCCTGGAACCTTCGTGCGGAAGGTTGCGTGGTTTTCTATATATATATATACATATATATATACATATATGACGGTACTTGTCCATTGATCTTGGAGCCTCAGCCTCGCAGATTTGGCCGCATCTCGTTGTTCCGCAATTGTCTTCGCTCAAGTTAATTTGTGGAGGGGTCAGCGCTCTCGAGCCCCTCTCGCGCGCTGTGCATGCGGGGCGAGCTCGCGACGGTGGCTGCTGGTCTGACGCAGACCTACCTGGCGAGCTGCCCGCGGTGCCCCGAGCACCGCTGCCCCGACTGCAATTGCGGTCGGCGCCCTTCGATCCCTGCTTGCCCGGCGCGCCCAGGCGCGCCCGCGGTTCGGCAGGGCGCAGCGGAGGTGGAGCTGCAATTCGGGCTGCCGTGGAGCTGGGCCGTCGCGCTGCTTGGCGCGGGGTGCCTGGCCGGGGCGCGCGGCGCGGAGGCGATCGGGGGCTTGGCGCGGGGCCTGGGTCGCCGCCGCCGTGGCGATGGCAGCCGCGGCTCTGACGAGGGCGCCGGAGGCGGCGAATTCCGCGCGGGCGCACGTGCTCTACAATGGGGAGGGCGAGCTGTGGCACCAGAGGCGGCGCGTCGGGAGCTCAAGGGCGTGCTCGGTGACTAACTACATCCTCGCGCCCGACGGCGACTGCTACTCGGAGAAGTACGACCTGGAGGAGGCGCACATCTCGGCGGTGCGATATGCAGTGGCACGGTGGCCCCCACCCCCGGGGCTGGGAGTTCGACGACGCCTTCGACCGGTCGGAGGCTCTGGAGCGGGCGGATCACCGCTCGCGGGAGGCGGCGGCTGGCCGCGACCCGGCGGCGATCCCGCCTGGAGGCTACTTGGGGCAGCTTTCTGTCCAGCCAGCGGCGGCAGCAGCGGGGGCGGGGCCTCTCGATGGCGCGGCGGCGGTAGGGGGCTTGGCGGCTGGCGGAGGGGCGCGGCATTGGCGGTTGGGGGGGCCTCGGCGTGTGGGAGTACCTGTTGGAGGCGGGGCGGTGGGCGGAGGCGGCGAAGGAGGAGTTCGCGGAGACCCGACCTTGGCGCGGGCGGCGGTGGAGACGCGCGGACAGCGCCGACGAGGAGAGGAGGTGCTGCTTCCAGCGGCCGCCGTGACCTTGGGCGGCGCGGCGCTGGCACCGACAGGCGATGGCGGGAGCTTGCGCCTGCGGCGGCTGAGGCGTCAGGACGTGATGAGCTGGATTGGGGCGGAGGCCGCTGGAGACGCGCGGATCCTGAACGTGGACCTGAGCGACAAGTCGAGCGTCACTGACTTCGCCGATTGGCCCGTGGTCGACCCCAGGACCACCGAGTGGTGCATGCTGTTCTTGAACAGACGAGGAGGAGGACCAATGGACCACCACAGGTGCTTCGCGATGCTGCGCGGCCTCGAGACGGGCGACTGGGGCGTGGACACGCACCGCGTGTGCCTCAAGGCGGTGGAGGAGGCGGGGACTTACGATCACCTGGAGCTGGAGCTGCGCTATCTTGCGAGCTTCGAAGTCCTCTTTCGCCAGGCCCAGTTGGTAGAGTACGCGCGCGAGCAGGAGAAGGTCGCCAGGCAGATGGTGGGCGGCAAAGGACAGGAGGGAGCCGGCAAGGGGGCAGGCTTGCTGGGCGAGAGTCTGGTGGTCACGGGCCAGCGCCGCGAGGCGGGCGGCGTCATGTTGGCGCCAGAGCTGATGGACTTCGCGTCACGAGAAGTCGAGAAGGACGCCAACATCACGAAGCAGGTGAGGGAGGCGCGAGAGGAGCGCCGAGCCCTCACCAACAACAAGAAGAAGGATGGGGAGTGATCGGGCAGGAGCGCCTGCCCACTGGCCCCGGCCGCCGGCGACAGCCGAGCGCGGCAGGGGCGGGGGCCTCAGTTTTGCAGCCGCCCTCGTGAGCGTGTCAGGGGCAGTCAGGCCTGCCAGCGCTGGCTCGCTGTCCTGGATGGGGGGGGGGGGGGGGCAAGAGTTTGAGCCATGCAGTCCGCCGGCGGGGACTTCGGGCGCGCCATCGAGAGGGCGGAGTGTCCGGGACGATCGCCGCCCTCAACGAGCTGCGCGGGGCCAGCGAGGACCTCGACAGCATTAATTTGCGGCCGAGTGCGGCGCAGCTTTCTTGCTTGGCGCGCATCGAGCAAGCCCACCGTGAGCTCGGTTCGCCTCCAGCTGACTTGCATGGGCAGGGGGCCCTGGAGGAGCTCCGGCGGTGGAGCGGGTTGCCCTGCCCAGTCTCCAGCGTCGACCCGCGCGCATCCAGGATGTCGGGGGCTCGGCGGGCGTGAAGGTTCTCGAGGTTCTCAAGAGTTTGGTTCGGGCGCCCGATGATGGGGCGGCTGAGGAAGAGCGTCAGCAGTTGCGCCGTGCCTACAACGACCCGATCTTTCGCCAGAAGCCGAAGGAGTATGCTAAGCTCGTTAGGAAGCTGCACGGGCGGGGCATCATCGAGTACAGGCGTAGCTGCAAGAAGAGCGCTGGTCCTTTTTGCGCGTGGAAGAAGGGAGGGGAACAGCGTCTTATCCTGGATTGCAGAGTGGGCAATTGCTGGTTCAAGGGCGCCCCGGGAGTGAGCCCGGCGACAGGCGACAGTTTTGGACGGCTCGAGATCGAGGGGGCCGAGCCTGTGTACGTGTCGGGCGTGGACATCGAGGTGGCCTTCTACTCGATATGCCTGCCCGAGGGGCCGCGCGAGCACTTCGGGATGGAGCCCGTGTGCGCAGGGGCTGTCGGAGTTCGGTGGCTTGACGGTGAGCGCGTGCATCCTGGAGTGAGGGTCGTGCCGGTGCTGAGCGTGCTGCCCATGGGTTTCAAGGGGGCGCTGTGCGTCTGCCAGGCGCTCCACGAGGCGGTAACCGAGAGGGTCACTGGCGTGGATGCGGACAACAGACTGGTGGACGGGCGGCCTGCCCCTGTGGTGACTCAGGGCTGCGTCCACACCGAGTACGTGGACAACTCTGTGGCGCTCGGGACGGACGGAGAAGAGGGCCGCCGGCTGGCCACTGAGGTCGGCGCCGCTCTTGAGGCTGACGGGCTCGGCGTGCATCCAGTCACTTGCGGTCGAGGCGGAGATGCGCTTGGCTGGCACTTTGACGAGCTGCGGCCTGCAGTGGGGATAGCTCCACGAACGGCCTGGCGGCTCATTCTTGGCCTGCGCGAGATCCTGCGCAGAGGACGAGCGAGCGGTTCCCAGTTGAGAAGCATCGTTGGTCATATTGCCTTTCCCGTTCTGTTGCGACGTCCCATCCTATCGGTCTTGCACACCGTGTATGCCTTTATCGATCGTCATCCTGTCCGAGTAACACCTCTTTGGGATTCTGTGAGAGAGGAGCTGGAGTGGGTGAGTCATCTGGTGCTCCTGGCCACTAGAGAGCTCAATATGACGGGAGCCCCATGGCCTCTAGAGAGCTCAATATGACGTGGAGCCCCAAGGTGACGGTTTTCGACGCGAGCGAGTGGGGCTACGGGGTTATGGAACGACGATGCGACATTGGTGCGATCAAATATCGTTCTGATAGGTGGAGGTTTACGAAGTGCGGGGAGCAACGGGCACGCCCGCGAGATGATGAGGGAGTCTGGGGACAAGAGCAAGGATAATTTCGAGGGGTGCCTGCGGTGCCCAGGTCTGTCTGGGGAGGCTGCTGGAGGCGTGTGATGAGTAGACCTTGGGGCGTCTCGGGCGGCCAGGTGATCTTGGAGGCCCGGGCTGGTGTTTGGGCGCTGCGTCACATTCTGCGGGACAGCAAAGCCGTGGGTTGTCGACATCTCGTGCTCAGTGACGCTATGGCCGTTGTGCTCGGGATTACCAAGGGTCGGACCTCGAGTCGGGCGATGGCGCGCTGCCTTAGGCAGTGGGCCGCCTTGTGCTTGGCCAGCGTCGCCGTGGTTCACGCGCGCTGGATCTCCTCCGAGAGGAGCGCGGCGGACGGAGCCTCGCGCGGCTCAGAGGAGCGTAGCGCCGCTGCCTGTCGGGATGCTCAGCCGCGGCCCGAGCGCGCGGCCGCTTGGAGGCCTGGCGGCTGCCCCGACGGCGGCGGCTTCGAGCTCGTGGACCCCGTCGCTGGCGGCTTCATCCGAGGCGGTGGAGGCGACCCCTTTGTCCTCGGGCCGCCGCCTGGGCTCGAGCTTCCCAGGGCGCAGCGCCTTGGTGAAGAAGCAGGCGAGCCAGGCGCCGCAGCGGGCGAGGCAGCGGCGGCGCCGGGCCAGCGCCGGCTCGCAGGCGAGCGCGAGCGCGGCAGCACACGATCGCGCAGGCGCCAGCCGCGGGGTTGCTGCCGCCGGGCGGCGGCAGGCGCTGCCGGGGCAGGAGCTGACGCAGCTGGAGCGCGGCGTGCCGCTCGGGTCTCGCCCGCCGACCGTGCTGGAGGACGAGGCGGCGGGCCCTCTCACGCAGAAGGACTAGCGTAATCGGTTCAGCAGCCTGAAGACTCCGGCGGACGCCGACGGCGCGCTTGTGGCGTGGCTGAACGAGCAGTTCTTCGAGGGCGAGCCGCTGGCGACGGGAACCAAGATGCTGGCGGCGCTGGGCCATCTGCTCCCGGGGGTGCCCCGAGGCGCGCCCGAGCTTCGGCGATCGCGGCGGGCGCTCCAGGGTTGGAGACGGCACAACCCTGCCAGCTCTCGCTTGCCGCTGCCCTGGCCTGTGACGGCCGCTCTGGCGAAGGAGATGCTGGCGCGGGGGCAGCTGGCGGCCGCGGGAGCGACGCTCATGGCCTTCGTGCTGTTGCTGCGGCCGGCGGAGGCGCTGAGGCTGGCAGGCGGCTGCTTAGTGGCGCCAGTGAGCGGAGGGGCCCCGAACCGCCGCAAGTGGCCCGTGGTGCTCCACCCGCGCGAGAGGGGTCTGACCTCGAAAGTGGGGGCGCAGGACGAGTGCATGGTGTTCGACAACCCCGAGTTCGAGCTGGTGGTGCCAATGCTGGTGAGCTTGCAGAGAACCGTGGCAGAGGGAAGGCCCCTCTTCCCGCTGCGCTCCGCCCTGTGGCATGAGGCCGCGCGGTCCGCCGCAAGGCGATTGTTCCCCAGCTTCGTCGCCCCCGCGCTGTACCAGCTGAGGCACGGCGGGGCGTCGCACGAGGCACTGACCGAGGTCCGCAGCACCGAAGGCCTCGTGCGCCGAGGCAGGTGGCACAGCCTGCGATCGGTCAAGCGGTGCGAGAAAGGCGGGCGCGTGAACCAAGTGCTGAGGTCGCTGACGCCCGAGGAGCTGAACGCCGCGCTGGAGGCCGAGCGCAGGCTTGGCGCGCGCCTCTCGCGGACATACCGCAACTAGCGGGCAGGGAGGGCTTCGCGCTGGAGATCTTCTCTGGGGGCGGGAGTCTCAGCCACTGCTGGAGGCAGCGGCCGCCGTGGGGCCTGCCGATCTTCGAGATTGACGTCAGCCACCACTGCTCCCACGACCTCAGAAGCCGCTCCGCCCAGCGTCGCATCCTGGGCTGAATCCGCTCGGGCTGCTGCCGCGCGGCATGGCTCGGGACGCCGCGCGCGACCTTTTCCCGGGCGCGCGACTCTGGCGCTCGGCCGCCGCGACTGAGGTCAGATGACGTGCTTCTGGGTCTCCCAGGACTTTCAGGGGCCGACCAAGTGAAGGTGGACGTTGCCAATGAGCTGTGCCGTTTTTCAGCAAAAGTTATAGCCTGTTGCCTGTCGCGCGGTGCGCCTGGAGTGCTCGAGAATCCAGCCTCGCCCCGCTTATGGCTCACGCCTTTCATTTCATCGGTTAGGGCTCGCAAGGGAGTCAGAGAGACCGCCGCGGACTTCTGCATGGATGGAATGCCATGGCGAAAGAGGACTCGGCTTCTGCACGTGCACATCGATATTCTCCCTGCCGCGCGTGTGTGTCACAGCGCCCAAAATCAACGCAAGTGCGATCGCGCTGGCCAGAAGCATGTGGTTCTGCACTGAAAAGGGCCTGATGGGAAGTGGCTCACCAAGACGGCAGAGCCCTACCCGCGCTTGCTGTGCAAGCGCTTAGTCAATCAGTTTCGCGCCTCAACGATTGCCTGCGAAGTAAATTGCCTCAGGAGTTTTCTTGATTGAACGGCGGGCCATGGTTGGACTTTGTGGTCTCAGCTTGGAGTGGGCAGAGTGTTCGAATGCATTCCCCTTGTCTTAGCGCGCTCGCTGCTCAGCTCCAGCTGTGGGTAGCCTCCCCGCTCGCACACAGATTGCCCTCTCAGAGGGATGGCCATGGCGCGAGGAAAGAGGGCTATATATATATACAGGTGCTTGCGAGGTTGTTTGGAAGGTTCTCGGGCGTTTTTTTTTGTTTCGGGAGGTTTTCGTTGGAGGTTTGGTTTGATGTTGTTTGGAAGGTTGTTTTGGAGGTTTGTGGAAGGTCGCTTGGGTGTATTTGGCGGTTTCGCTAAACGCTGGGAAGGTTCGAGGACGGTGTAAGGCGTTTGGAAAGTGTTTTAATTTGCTTCGGCACAACCTTCGTAAAACCTCTCTACAACCTTCATCGGGAAGGTTCCGGGATTCTTGGGACCTTCCAAAGTAAACCTTCATAGAACCTTCCTGAGGAAGGTCCCCGGATTCCTGGAACCTCAAAACAAAACCTTCCGAAAACCTTATTCGGGGAGTTTTTTTTGGAAGGTGTTTGGGCCAAGCTTTCCTGGGCTCTGCCCGAGGAAGGTTTTAGGGAGGTTAGAGGAAGGTTGTTGTTGGAATGTTTGGTGTAAGTTTTTTTTTTTCTTCTGCGATGGCGGTTGGAAGATTGTTGGAAGGTTATGCATGTAAAAAAGTTATTGGGAAGTTGTTGGAAGGTTGTTTGGAAGGTGCGTAAGAAGGTTGTGTGAGAGGCTTTTGGCATGTATTGGGCGGTTTCGCTACATGCTGGAAGGGTTTGGGCAGGTTTTTGCAAGGTTGCCGGTGCGTTGTTGGACGGTTTTGTGGAAGGTGTCGGGGACAACCTTCCTAGAACCCTCCTACAACCTTCCTCTGGAAGGTTTCAGGATTTCTGGAACCTTCCCAAAAAAACCTTCCTCCGGAAAGCTCCGGGAGTCCTGGAACCTTCCAAAAAATAACTATCCTGGAACCTTCCTCCGAAAGGTTTTTGGGCCAATCCCTCCTGGGGCCTTCCTGGGGGAGGTTTTAGGGGGGTTTTAGGGCAGTTGGACATTGCTGGCCGGTGTTCGGGCGGTTTTTGGAAGGTTTTTGGAAGGTTTGTTTTTGACAGTTCTTGGAAGGTGTTTGGAATGTATTAAGCGGTTTCGCTACATGCTGGAATGTTTCAGGGGGGTTGTTTGGAAGGTTTTTGGAAGGTTCGTTTGGAAGGTTCTGGGGGGGGTGTTGGAAGGTTGTAGGAAAAAAACCTTCCTAAAACCTTCCTCAGGAAGGTACCGGGGTTCCTGGAACCTTCAAACAAAACTTGCCTAACACCTTTTTCAGGAAGGTTCCAGGATTCTTGAAACCTTCAACCAATTCTTCCTGAAACCTTCCTCAGGACGGTTTTGTGCGGTTTTTGGGCCAACCCCTCCTGGAACTTTCCTGAGGGAGGTTTTAGGAAGGTTTGTTGGACGGTTTTTGACGGTGTTTGTACGGTTTGTTGTTCGGTTTTTGGAAGGTTTTTTTTTCCGGAAGGTTTTCCCCATTTCCTAAGTATGGGGATTCTGTTATTGGCGGACCGCGCCGGAGGAGAGAACGAGAGAGAAAGAACATACCATTCCTCTCACTCAGACCCACTCACTCATCATTCAGACTCACTCATCACTCAGACCCACTCATCACTCAGACTCACTCATCACTCAGACTTACTCATCACTCGGATTCAGCCATGACTCAGACCCATCACTCATCACTCAGACTCACTCATCACTCAGACGCACTCATCACTCAGACTTACTCATCACTCAGACTCATTCGTATTTGTACTCATACATTCACTACACTCACTCAGGTCCACTCATCTGATGATTCACACACACACTGATGTTGAGGATGTCTCAGGCGATTCTGCGGCTTCAGCACTCTTAAGGGGAGCGGCGGGGGGGTGTTTCACTCGGCCCCTTTCGCAGGATTTTGTGGGGATGTCTCGGGCGATTTGCTTGTTTTCTGTCCCAACATCCTTCGCTTTCGGAGCAGAATTGGGGGATGTTTCGAGCGAGGCGCTCATTTTCACGTTCCTAAGGGGAGCGGCAGGGGGGTGTTTCACTCGGCCCCTTTCGCAGGATTTTGTGGGGATGCCTCGAGCGGTTTGCCTGTTTTCTGTGCCAGCATCCTTCGCTTTCGGAGCAGATGTCTCGAGCGAGGCGCTCACGTTCACCCCCCAGGTGGGCCAGATTTTGAGGATGTCTCGATCGGTTTGCTTGTTTTGGTGGCCAGGCTCGTGGGCGCAGATTCTTCTCAGGATGCCACAGGAGGCTCCAACAGGCTCCAGGAGGCCCCAGGAGACCACATGAGGTCCCAGGAGGCATCAGGAGGCCACAGAAAGACTCAAGAGGCCACAGGATGTCCCAAGAGGCTTCAGCAGGCCCCAGGAAGCTCCAGAAGGCCTCAGGAAACCATAAGAGGCCCCAGGAGGCAACAGGAAGCGCCAGGAGGCCTCGGAAGGCAACAGGAGGCCCCGAGCGGCCCCAGGAGCAGGAGGCCTCAGAAGGCAACAGGAGTGGTTCCAATCCCATGTGTTTTACGTATGCTCCTATCGATTGGGCCTCACCTGGAGCACGATTATTTGATGTTATACGTATGTTTCTATAGATTATCCTTCTCCTGTGTACACAGTCCTACATGTTTTACTTATGTTCCTATATATTGGGCCTCTCCTGGGGCACGAATCCTTGGTGTTTTACGCGTGTTCCTATAGATTGCCCTTCTCCTGTGGCTCTAATCCGCAATGTTTTATGTACGTCTGTTGCTATATATTGCGCCTCTCCTGGGGCACGAAACCTCCCTAGGAGGTCCCAGGAGGCCCCAAGAGGCTCCTGGAGATCCCAGGAAGCCCCAGTAGGTTTCAGGAGGCCCCAGGAGGCCCCAGACTCATGCACAGAGACGCGTTCGTACTACTGAGGCTCATTCACACTCCAATTCATTCGCAATTAGATTTATGTCCAGACCGTCACAACTGAAGCCCGTTTATACTCGAAAGCTCTTGCGCCTAGACATTCACGGCGGACAGGTCCATGCGAATAGATGCACATATGGGAAGTTCCACGCAGTGAATAATTGGATGGTTTCCTGGGCAGGTGTTTTGAATGGTTTTTGCAAGGTTGTTGGATTGTATTGGGCGGTTTCGCAAATACTGGAAGTTTCTAGGAAGGTCTTAGGAAGGTGTTTGGAAGGTTTGTTCGAAGGTTTTTCGGGGGGGAGGTGTTGGAAGGTTTTTGGAGAAACCATTCCTAAAACTTTCCTCGCCCCCCCCCCCAGAAAAACCTACCAAAAAACTGTCCTCAGGAAGGTGTTTCAGCAGGGGTTCGTCGGAACTCCCGCACCGGTCTCTCGGAACCGGCACGTCCTCGGCGGAGAGCGGGTGCCAGTTCGAGCTCAGCAGGAGCCGGAGCTTCGCTTGGCGGGTCGCCTCTCGGCGGCACTTCAGGCTCGCGCAGGCGGTTGCCGGCTGGGCTGGGGCCCGAGGTCCAGGCCGCTCCCGTCTCCTTGTTTTGGTGGCTCTTGGGCTGCGGCCGTTGGAGGCTTCGGCCGGCCTCGGAGGTCCACGAAGCCGCTGCCGCCTCTGACCGGGGCGTCGTGCACCAGTTCCTGCTCCTGCGAAGTAGACCTCCATGCGTGGATACGTGTCCAGTCGCCGCCGCAAGATGCTCGGGACTCGCGAGCACCATCAGCCCACGAAATGCCAACCACACTCCGTGTCGCCCTCCGTGTCCCATAACTAGGGCCAATCCGCGCCAGTTGTCAGGATGCTCCGGCCGATGCTTGACCGTCTGGGCTTGGTCGTAGCCACCCACTGGCCCACGGAAAACGGCCAACGGGTAGGTCTGATTTGCCGTAGTTGGGCCCATCGTAGCCGATCAGCCGTGTCTGTCTGGATGAAGGCCAGCCTGCATTGCGACCTGATGGCGGCCTTGCGTGCAAACCTCGAGCCCTGCGTAGCAGCTGCCACCTGCTCGCCGACGCGCTCGGCCTCACCGTCGTCGCTGAAGCTCGCTGGGAGACGGATGTCTCGCCCCAGAATCCAGAGGTAGGGGCCGAAGCCAGCCCTCCGCGCCAGCGTGTTCTCGACCTGGTTGCACTCGGTGACGGCCGAACGCATCTCGTCCAGGGCGGCAGCCTGCTTGTCGTGAATCACTCTTGTCAGCATCGAGTTCCAGATCCCGTCGTGTCGCTCCATCTTGCCGAAATGCCACGGTGATGCCAATGCCGCCGAGTCCAATCGCACTCTTTTTCCTCTAGGTAGTCCGCGAGCTTGCCGAGGAACCACCATGATCGCCTCCTCTGGTTGACCTGCCCAGGCCACCCAGCAGAGCTCGTAGAACTTCCACACCTCCGACGCCTTCGGGTTCTTGTGAGTCTCATCTAGCGAGCACGCGACATTGAAGTTCGTGCCCATGCACGTGATACCCAGAAATTCCCACTTCTGACCCATGCTGTCTTGATTCTCGGAGCAATCCATCGCGAGCAGCACGTTGAATTCATCAATTCTCGGTGGTTGGCTCGGCCTCGGAATGCTAGGTCTTTGGACTCGTCGGCAGGACTCGCACTTGAACAAACGCGCCGCCCTCAGGGCGATGGCGGTGGCCTTGCCCAGGCGCAACGCCCTGAGCAGGGCCGGCTGAGATGGACGCCCCAGATTGACGTGGACCTTCTCGATGGCACGCTTCACCGTCCTCGGGGACCAACTCCCAGCGGCGACGCCGCTCCTGCGACACATCTCGTTGCTGAGACGCCGCTGGCCCTTCAGGTCCTGCTTCGCGCTACATGCTGGCGAAGACGAAGATTCCCGCGGCGTTCCTGAAGAGGTCTCGTGGTAGTCCACGTCGCCGAGCCTGCACCCACTGACGAGGTCAATCCTCGAAGCTGAGCCCGTAAATGCTTTCGTCCTTGAGCACCGTGGTCATCCTGAGCGGGGCGTCCGCCGCGTGAAGCTGAGGATGTGCTGTCCGGAACCTCTGAGCGTCCCTCCGTGCCTTGACCAGCTTCAGCGGCTTTCCGATGACTCTGCCAAGCTCCTCCAAGAAAAGGTCAGTCCCCCAGATGACTGTCTCGAAGTCGTCGAGCAACTTCTCCAGGAGCCTCGCGTGCCAGCGCCGAAACGTGTCGAGCTCTAGGCACGACTCGGCCGTCGGCAGCTCGAACTCGCCATGATGCGTAGGTCGTCCACCTCGAAAGCCCAGCGGACGTCCACGAGGCAGAACTCCAGGTGCCCGACGAGCAGACGCCCTGCCGCGCCCGTGCCCCCTGGGCGCCTCGGCCAGCGCCTCGGGAGGCTCGCCCGCCGCCTCGGTTGGCGGCTCAGCCTCATCTGCACCACGGTCTCCCCGATGGTCCTCTGATCCGGGCTCCTCACGAGGCGGGCTTCGCGATCGCGACGTCGACCTCGGGAAAGTCTCTTCCACCGGAGAGGCCGTGTCGTAGGCGAGCATGTCATGGTAGTCCAATTTCATCTGCTGAAGCACGCCTTGGCATAAAGCCTTTGCCAGACCCTATGTGTACGCTGCCGCCTGTCGAGCCCTCTTACCGCCTGAGTTGCCTCCAACTGCGTGCTGATGAGCCCCGGGTTGGCATCCACAGCGGCGTTTGAGCATTTTGGCCACCGCCGCACCGTTGGTGAGCCAGCCCGTCGGCTTCAAGATCGGCTCCCCTGAGTCCCTGTCGCAGGCCCCGTAGGCGCACTGATCACCTGGAACAAAGACCACGTCATCCAGGGCGCCAAGCTTGGTAAGGATACCGTCGTAGGTTCATGACTTGGCTGTCAAAGGCTGCTCCACCAGAAAATGTTGCCCCCGATCATGCACTGGCTGGGCCACGCGCTGGACGAGCAAGAGAAAACGTCTCGCACTCATCCTCATCCGTTCCACATCCTAGTCGGTGCACTTGTCCATGTACGTCATGACACACAAGGGTGTACACGGGAACGCCAAGACGGTGATACATGTCTAGTGTTGATCCAAAATGGCGTAGAGTAAAGCTCGGCCATTAGCCGCCAGCAGGTCCTGGTCTGGCGAATGCTTTACGTCCAACGGCTGAGAATTGAGCCAGCCGAACTCCTTGGCCCCGCAGCGAGTCAAAGCGTGCTCGCGGCCGAAGGGCTCGAATCTCACCGTTGTCTGGAAATTAGCCGTCGCCAACCTCTCTGTTGCGAATCGCGGGCGCTGGATCTCCGTCCGCACGCGCCGACCTTCACTCCGTATCGTACTCCAGTCTGACTCCAACTTCTTGCGCATTCCTTTCGCGAGGACGCCTGTCGCCTCGCCAAGGAGCACGCCTCGGCCGCCAGCCAGGCAGGCCTGGCCTATCTCCTCCACCTGCGGGTCCTCGATCTCGAACCCTCTCTCGCGGTCTCCTTCACCGCCTGCACCAGGAAGAATTCGGAGTCATTGTTGTTGGAGGTCATCGTCGGTTTCATCCGTAGTTGCTCCTCGCCTCGTCCGAACATGACCGTCTTCTTCGTCTGATCCTGGCCCTCGTCCTCCCATTGGTCAACTCTTAGGGCCAGATGCCCATCAACCTTGAGCATCGTCACGGTGACCGACAACTTCCTGAGCTCCATCAACATCTGCCGCACGTGTAGCACGGCTCCGAGGGCTCCTTGAGCCACCAGGCTCAACAGCAGCGGGGTGCTGCAGCCCTCCATCTCCGTGCTGTATATACACAACTCCGCGTTTTCCTCCGATGCTGATAATCTTCACAACTCGACCGCGTCGCCGACCTCCGAAGGCTGATGTGAAGCTCCTCCACTTGTCCATTAACTCAACCTTCAAGCCCTTGGGAATCAAGCAACGCGTCTGGAAACTAACTCGCCAACCGTCTCCACGCATACACCGGGTGCATCCAGCATCAGCAAGCGCAACAGGTATATCAGGCACGTCACTACAATCATTCACCATCAACCTTTCACTAAGCATAAACACCATGCATAGCCGTACTCCGACGAGTACTTGGAGCTGCGCGCGCCCTTCGAGCCGCCGAGGGGCCGGGTAGACGTGGAAGATCAGGCAGACGATGGCGGCGGCACAGCTTCGCGCATCATCTTCCTGCCGTCGTCGTAGCTCCCGGTGCCCTTGCAGTCGGGAACGCGGCTGCATCCAAAGCACCAGCTACGACCGCGAGTTTTCTGCCTCGGCACCATCTCCTTCTCACATTTCGGGCATGTCACGTCCCACTCATCCATCGTCTTCGTCTCCGTCGGTGGTGCTGCCGTGCTCACGCTGTCTCCGGGATTGGTGTCGTCCCCGACGCTGCCTGCGAGCTCGAACGAGCCGATGTCCGAGTTCGCCTCGCCCGTGTAGTAACCCGATGCCGTATCACCATATTCACCGTCGTCCAGTACAAGTAGCGTGGCGTCTTTCCGCTTATTGTTTCCTGCGATCCAGTCGACGCTGAGCTCTAGGCTGGCCGTGAGTGACAACGCTGCCGCTTGACTCTTTGGTGCCGTTGCTGGCTTGGCCTTCGCCTGCTTTGGCCTGGATCCTAGGGGACTACGGGTCTCCAGCCCAGTGGCCAACCTGTCCGCACGTTCCGCACGCCGTCCTCTTTTTTTCTCCTTGCTGATCGCCTGCTTGCGCTTCTCGAACGTCAGGGTCCCCTCCGCCTTGAAGAACCCGCGCTTTCAAGTCCCGCATCTTGGACCTCGCGGTGTCGTAAGAGGCGCACGCATTGTTGATGGCCCCGTCCTCGCTGGCGCCGATGTTCCGGGTATTCGTCGTCGTCCGTCCGGCTCGAGCGCCTCCTCCTTTGTGCATTCGCCGTCGTCCTGGTCGTCATCGTCATCGTCCTGTTCCGCGAGGTAGGTCTTGCTGAAGCGGCTCTTGTTCTTGTCCTTGTCTTTGCTCTTGCCGCCGCCCTTGGCGTCCATCTTGGTGAAGGTCGCCTTCGTGTGCTGCTCCTGGTGCAGGTCGTGGTCGGTCTTCTCGAAGCTGTCGGTCTCGTATCGGTTGTCCGCCACCATCGTCACCAGCCGCTTCTGGTCGTCGCTTAGCGCCGCCCCCTCTAGCAAGAAGTACGCGTAGAGGTCGTCGCTCAGTTGCGTGTCCTTGTCGAGCTCGGTGAGCTCCTTGTACTTGTTCTGGAAGGTGCGTGGGTACTTCACGAAGGCTTGGCCTCGGCGGCGCCGTCAACGCTTAAAGAAATCGTCAAACTTTTGTTGCTTGCGGACCACCGCGATCTTGTCGAGCCCTTCGAGAGTCTCGAGGATCAGCTTGTGGCCGCCGTCCTGAGTGAGCAACTCCATCTTGTCCAGCAAAGCCTGGACCGCCTTCCAGGCCTTCCCCGAGAGCCCTCGGGTCTGCCTCCGGCCAAGTCTGCTCCTCTTCTCCTTGCCGACGTCGCTCGTCGCCGACTGAATGCTGTGCTCGATGTTCACCCGCATGCGGTACTCTGGGCAGTGCGATGTTCTCGCCGTCTCAGTGAGGGATGCCCTCCTTGTCTACGTAGAGCTCCTCTCCTTGACTCTCGGCGCTAGCCATCCTCTTCCGTGAAATGTCACCTGCTCCGCTACCAGTTTGAACTCTTCTCGTAGCTCTTGAAGAGTGGGCGCAGCCCCTTTTGCTCCTGCCGAGCGCACACAGCCCGCAGGCTTTTGCTTATCTGCGGGCGCACGCCGCCCGTCGCGGTGAAACTTGGGGCCCCAGGCTTGGGCCCAGACAGACAGCAGCGCAAGGCATCGGAAGGATGCGGTGAGGCGTTCTAATCTCCGCTCTGCCAGTGAAACCTTCACAGCTGTCGTGAGTTATGTCGGGACCACTCAGAGTTTAGACATCTCAGATGCCCCTCGGGCTTTCTTGGCAGGCTCGGGTCTGACCTCAATGTGATCTTGGAGCCTGATTTGGGCTATTGGAGGCATGCCGGAGGACATCTTCAGGCAACCTGGGTCAGCTTGCTTCATTTTAGAGACGTATGGGGCCATCGGGCAGCTATATACGGTCATGTTGGACGCTCCAGCAGAAGGAGTAGAAGGGTTTGGGGAGGAGGGGAGCCTTGAGAGCGGGATGATGTGGATCGTGAAGCGAGGATCCGTTCCAGCAAGGAGAGGAGACGGGCGAGGACGAGCATGACGAGGAACCTCGGGAGGCGGAATGTTAGAGGGAGCGCATTGGGGGAACGCGGAGCGTCAGGAGAGGCTTTCGCTCCCAGCGAGGACCAGCGAAAGCTGTTCGAGGCCAGCAGGGACACCTACGAGAAGGCCCTGAAGGATGCAGCGCCCTGGTTGCGGCACTTGGGCGTAGCAGGGCGAGGGGTATGGAGCGAGGAACAGCTTCCCCTGTCCCCTCGCCCCCTCGTCCTCCTCCCCTTCCTCGACTTTCCCCCTTTTCCCCCGCCCGCCGTTCCCCGTTGCCCCCTTTCCCTCCCTGCCCGCCTTTCTCCCTTCCCGCCCGCCTCGTCCTGCTCCCCTTCCTCGACTTCCCCCTTTCCCCCATTTCCCCTTCCTCGACTTTCCACCGCTCCCCCCCATTAGCCACCCTCCATGTCCCCCTCTGCCCTCCTCCCGTTTTTGGAGGGGAGGAGGGCGCAGGAGGCGAGGGGCGAGGGCGAGGAGGGAGGAGGGCGAGGGCGAGGGCGAGGGGGGACTCGTGCTGATGCCACCTCCAGGGCGCGGAAGGGGAGGAGGAGCAAGTGCAGCAAGAGTGGATGGAGAAGGGATGGAGGGATGGAGAAGGGATGGAGGGAGGGATGGAGAAGCAATGGAGGAAGGGAGCAAGAGTGGATGGAGAAGGAATGGCGGGGGGGAGGGGACGGGGAGCCAGGATGGAAGGGAGCGAGACGGGAAAAACCACATGGCGCGCACGGAGTTGATCTTGGTTAGAGCGGAGTTGGCGCTGGCCCCCTTAGCTGATTGACACCCACCATGTGGATGCTCTCTTATTCGGCGTTTCGACGTTGGGCGGAAAGGGGGTGGGAAGGGGGGGGGGTCTGGCTTTGGACCTCTGCTTAGTGCGACTGTTTGCAATCGTGCGTCCTGTGGGGGAGAGACTCCACCTGCTCGAAACAGGCGCCAAAAACAGCCAAGATCTACTCCATGTGGGGGGGCGAGGGTCCGCGCTGATCGGCAAAGCAATGAAGAAGGAACACGTGAGTGTGACATTGCTTCGTTTGTGCTGGGGGTTTGGCTTGCGCTCTGGTGATTCGTCGGCGGTTCCGTGTGCTGCTGTTGCGTTTATCGGAACGTGTCAACGCGAGTTTCCCTCGAAACTAGCTTAATTGATCAGGAGCTCTGGCGTCACCCTGGCATCAGACGTGTCGGGTTGCGGCTGGATGCGGGCGGGCATGCGAGTCTTCGAAGTGGGCGCTGGGGTCGGGCCGGACAGGTGGACGCTGAGATGGGCAGGCGGGTCGGGTCGGGCGGGCGGCCCTGCGTCGGACGGCTGGGTCGGGGCGGACGGCTCGGATTGAGCGGGCGCGCCCGGAAAATTGAGGTGTTGTGGCGTCAGGAAGGCAGTTCTTGAGTTGTCGGATCGGGCCAGTCGGGCGTACCCTTAGTTGGGTGGTCGGGCTGGGCCGGTGAACCCTGAGTTGGGCAGCGGTCGCGTAGAATCGAGCGGGCCGGGCGACTGGGTAGTGTCGGGCGGGCAAGCGCAGCCCCTTAAATACAAGTATGGTGGTCGGATCGATCGGGCAGTCCTGCATTCTGAGTGTTCGGAGGACCTTATTCCTCCTTAGCGTGTCTCATAGCTGTGGTCTCCCGACAGTAGAAAGAGCTGGTTTACCAATTTATGTTTTACAGTATAAAATGCAAACAATACAACATCAGTCAATAATACGCGCATCAATAACGCAACAAAAACGAAACGGACATTTTGAGTATACACGTTCTTTCTGTGACAACCCAGCGAAGCTTGCGCCGACAAATCGTGCAACCAAAGCGTTTATCCAATATGAAAATTGGGCATAGTTTTCTGTTGCGCACTTCGTTTGTAGGTGTTCGTGTTTTTGTGTCGCTTTATTGTTTGTGGATTCTGTTTCAAGGGATCCCAGTCGTGACGTGTCGTTGAGATATTTCCCATATATATGTTACCCCACATCATACATATATATATATACATATACATATACGGACGGATCCCACATCATACATATATATATATATGTCGTCGTTGTGACGGGTCCCACATCATACATATATACATATATATAGGTGTGTATTCATATATGTATATATACATGCATATCTGTGAATCTATACACCCCGTGGGCTCTGCCCGCTCAAGATTCGGTACAGCCCTCGAGCCAACGACCTCCTGATCGTTTAAGACGAAAGTAGCGTGGATGTGGTTGCCGCGCTAGTAACACCAGTGCCATCCTGCCGCCACGAGATACCAAGGGGGCAGCGGTCATCAAGTAGGGCCCTCCCAGGAATGGTGAACAATACACCGCCACCCCGGAATGTTTGCTCTGTTTGGAAGTTTGCCCGCGGGCGGGGGGGGTTCTGAGCAGGGTGAGGTGCTCGCGCCCGCCTTGCCTGGGCGCTGGACGTAAACCGTCCAAGAATTTGGTCGCGCGCGCCATCGCATTGCAGAGCTCGCTATTGGCAGCCAGTTCGGTTCGGTTCCATAGCATAGCTCCCTTTGGCGACACTTACTGATATTTCTGGGCAAGGGCTTAGTAGTCATCGAAACGTCGAGTGCCAATGTCAGCGAGCGCGACTTGGACGGGCGGACTTTTTGAGTGGGCGGGCTGGCCTGGGCAAGTAAGCGGACCTCGAGTCGGGCAGTCGGGGTGGCCGTGTTGGGCAAGCAAAGCCATGAGACAGGATCGGGTCGGGCGTCAGTTGCCGATTCGGGGCCGTCGGGTCGGACCAGCGTGCCCAATTCCGGGTGCTGGGTCGAGCTAAGCAAGCCGGCCACAGGCCAGGTCGGGTCGTTGTCTGACTCGAGCGGCCGCGGCGGGGCGGACGGGCAGACTGTCTTTCGTGCGGGCGGGCCGTGTGCGACCGGCGGACTCTACAGTCAAGACGTTGGGTTCCTGAGGGGTTCTGGCTGTCGGGCCGTTTCTCAGATCGCGGTCGGGGAGCCCGCTCGAGGCCGAGGATCGCAGCGGTCAGGGAAGCCCCCCCCCCCCCTGCGCTCCTGGCTCATGGTTCTCCAATCGGCGGCACCCCAACATATTAATACTGTGCGTGCGTCGCCCCCCCAGGGGCGACGCGCGCACCGAGAAATCCTGTAGTGTATGCATCGTGGTGGGCGCTTTCTGGCCACACCGCTCGGGAAACGACAGACTACAATACTACAAAAAAAACAATATGGGTATATTATATGTTCGGGACGGCTGTGTGAATCATGTAGGACACGATAGATAGACGTTCAGAGAAATTGGAAGGTTTGTTTCGTCTTTGCTATGTTTGCCTGTCTTGCATAGCGCTATAGATTCAACCATTTTGGAACATGCTACGGTCGTGGCTAGGGGACTTTGGAAAATACAGTGCGTCGCCGTGACCGGTGAGCTAGATAACACATACATCACTTCTGCACCGACACTGGTCGCGGAGCCGTGGTTCCGAGAGCTGCGGCTTAGCGCGCATGCAATGGCAGGGATCTCCGGAGCACCCGCGCTGCGCGCTGACATGGCCATCCGATGGAACGGGAAGGCCGAGGCGCTGGAGGACTACGCCATTGCGGTTGAGCTGCTGACGCTGGGATCATCCAAGGAGGTGACGCCACTGCTGGGACCCCGACTGGCGGCCGCGTTGCCGCAGGGATCTGAAAAGCAGCGCTTCGCTCTTCGACTGCCTCGAGAAGCTGGCCTCGACATGGACGGAACCCCACTGGAGCCGAAGTCGATCGCCACCGCGGACGGCCCCAAAAACCTGATAGAGGCCTTCAGGAGGGAACTGGGGACGCGGTGGTGTTTGACATTGGCGAGAAGACTGACGCGCACTTGTATGCAGGGCCGGGTCGGAGTGCACTGACTCGGCGACTAGGGCAACGTATGGTCCATAGTTCAGTGGATCGAGGCCGAGGAGCAACCGCACGACCAGCTACAGCGGGCGTACAAGTTGCTGGTGCCGGACGTTGGAGACACACTGCCAAGTGCAGTGCGGGGAGTCCTCCTCTGGCGCAACAGCAACCTCGACCCCTCGGATAATGCCGTGGTGAGCAGTACCATCAAAGGAGGCTGCAAGCTCGAGAATGTGAGGAGACGCTTGCGCGATGCGTGGGCGGAGAACGGCCTGGCTGTGCGGGACATGAAGACGAAGCAGAGCAATCACCGCGCGGCCCACTACACCGACGAGATCCACTGGCAGACCTACGACGAGCAAGGAGCCGACCGCGAGCTGCCGCCAGACGAGTACGTTCAGGCCGATGAGGAGGACGTCGCAGCGGTGGAAAGGAAGAGCACGAGGCCCTGGCCGCGCAGGACGCGGACGCAGCGACCCGCATTTGGGAGCAGGCCCGGAAGCTGCTCAGCGAGGTTTCCAGGGCTCGCGGCTACTACCCGGTCGTGGGTCTGGCCGCGCTGCCATCGACCCGGAAGGACACGGGCAAGGGCTCGCGGGGGGGGCCCAAGGGCCGAGGCCGAGGCGACAAGGGTGCGCCGTCACCCACGAGGGCCCCTGCAGGCCAGGCTCACGATCGACCAGGACGACCTCAGCAGGGCTGCGGCGCTGGCATGAAGTGCCTCCTCTGCTGGCAGCTGGGACGCAAAGCCGTGGACTGTCCCTCCATGTATTAGACGGGAGGCAACGGCAAGGGGAACATGAACGTCGGCTTCGACGGAGGGGACGACGAGACTGGACGAGGCTACCGTCTCTTGCGTATTCCCCTGGGAGAGCGAAGACAAGTGGGTCCTGGCCATCTCTCCGAACATCGCGCTGGGCCTCAGCTTCTTCGCGGAGGCTGACCTCCGAGGCTTCGCTTCGCGATCGTGGACAGTGGAGCCACCGAGTCCACGTTGGCTGACCCTCCTCGAGTTCGCGCGGGAGCAGATTTACGACGCGCGCGGCCAGGACCTGACGGAGATGAGCACGAAGGAGTGGACGCGCTTCACCTACGCCAGCGACGCGACGGGCACGAGCGTCGGGAGAGGGGGCATTTCCCACCCGATGGGGCTGCGAGATCACGGGGGCAAGGTTTGGTTCTCGCTGGCGCCCTCCGAGGGCCCGATGTTGCTGGACCTGGACTACCCGAAGGAGGCGCGGGCGAACGCGGCGCACGACGGCTACCTGGAGCATTCGGACGGGCACCGTGACAGGCTTGA